AGGAGACTAAGTTCAAAAGATTTGCTGTAAAACATGGTGACTATGTTTAATAACAACATATTGTATTCTTGGTTTTTTTTTTTTTTTTTTGCAGTACCAGGGATTGAACTCAGGATCTTGCGCTTGCCAGGGAAGCGTTTATTCCACTGAGCCATCTCCCCAGCCCCCATATTATATTCTTGAAAAGAACATTTGAGTGTTCTACAAAAAATGAAATGTGAAGCAATGCATGTATTAGCTCAATTCAGCCAACAAAACGTATGTACATTTCACAAAGAATTGAGCAGAACTGTGGCATGTAGTTTGTTCTAGAAGAACTGCTTTTTTAAGCTGTACTTTGAGTGGGCTGAATAGTCACTTTTACACTGAGTCACACCCAAAGCCATAGCACATCACAGGAAGAAAGCCTGTGAGACAATGCCAGTGAAGGAGGAATATAGGAGAAGAATGAGGGGACAGGGAGAGAAGGCAGGGAATGCACGGGGGCTACAGGCACTTGAGTGACACACTGAGGAGCAGAAAAGGCCGTGTCCTAGGGCCAGAGAGATGGCTCAGTGGAATAAGCGCTTCCCTGGCAAGCACAAGGGCCTGAGTTCAATCCCTGGTTTTGCCAAAAAAAGAAGAAGAAGAAGAAAAAAAGCCCTTGTCCTGAAGTCCACAGGCTTTTTGAAGTGGTGACACCTCAGGAGGTGAGCTAGAAAGCTCAGGAAAAATAAAGGTCAAAAAAGTAGGGTGGGGGCTGGTGAGATGGCTCAGTGGTCTAAAGCACCTATTTAGAACAAGCTTTGCTAAGCACAGGGACCGCGGTTCAATCCCCCAGCACCACATGCCAGCCAGCCCCGCCCCCTGGTGGGCTGAGCTGGCCACACACACCACACACACACACACACACACACACACACACACACAAATAAAATAAAATAAAAAAAGTAGGGTGCTTAAAACAAAAAGTTCAGAAATAGAATAATGATAAATGATAATAATGATAAAGTAGACTGAAGTGATGAAGCAGATGGGGGAAAGATATTAAAAGACGATAAAATCACAAACCTGAAAGGCCAGAAGGTCACCTTCCTGGGACTCCTCTCTGCCACTCCTCCAAACCCATTTGCCAAGATCACCTCTTCAAGTCATTGCTGTGCTCCACCTGTTGGCCATCGGACTTAAAACTTACTTTTAAAGGTCTCGTTCTTTTCCTAACTAAGGAAGATAAAAGAATACTCATCGCATTGGGTAGGGTAGAGGGAAAAAAATGAAAAAAGAGTAAGAAAATATTGGGTTAATACTATCCCCTAGTTACTGCAGACTTATCAGGGCCACAACATCCCAAACAAGTGGATGGCAAAGGCTCAATAAAAAAGACAGGGCTAAATGGGGTATACAGATGAATGTCCATTTTGTATCTGTGTATTCAAAGTGGTTGGGATAGATATATAGTTACATTCTGTTAATGAATAGAATG